TGCTTTAATGCTCTATTGGGTATTTTAATATTAAGTGTTACTAATTTTTATAATTATATAGATATTTAACATTTTAACATAATAATATATACTGTATATTTGATAATTGCTAATTATTTAGAAACGATATGTTTATATGTAAGAAAAATGCCATTTATCAATCTTAAATATTACGTAATTTTTTACAAGCACAAATGATGTGATGACAAATAATTGTAGAATAGTCAAATATGGTTATTAAACAGAGTATATTTCAAATACAAGTGACTCTCAATAGAAAAAACTTTTGAAATAAGATTTGTAAATCCTAATTAAGAATTTATAATAAAAAACCACCGATATAAGATTTTGACTGGACCAGGCAAATTTCTTATATTAAGAGTCACTTATATTAATGATTTAATCGAAAGAATTGATATTAATGCAGCAGAACCTGTTACGGCATAAGCCAGAATAGGTTCTGGTAAGATTTTAATTAGTATGTATATATAACTAAATTAACCAAAATTGGCATCCGATGTCTAGTTAAGTATATATATTTTCAGTGTAATTTCGCTACTATTTGTCGAAGCGAAAGAATTATAGTAGTTATGGGACTACATAGCTTAGAAATTAAAACATCATAAGCTATGGTTTATTTAAAAAAAAAATCGATTCTAAAAAATTATTAAATTGTTAAATGCGACAATTAAGTACCACCATCGCTGATTATAGACTTCTAATTTTGAATATAATTTAAACTCAGTTTCGTAACATTTTTTTAGGGGTATACTGGGGAGATTTATCGATATTGGTTATCTGGTTACGTATTATTAATTAATAATCGTCACTGCCAATCTGAATAAATCGCATATCCAATATTCGGATAATTATCCGAATATATTCAAATCTGGATATCCGATAGATAAATGGATAAGGATTAGAACTTACCGCCCAAATCCCAAAATATTATAGTTTGGATTTGTCCGCGCCCAAATCCAAACTTAAGCTTAAACTAATATCTCAAAAACTTTATTAATAATCTTTATTTAAACAAATAATATATATTCTTATAGCTATATATAATATATTCACCAAATATCAAAATTATTTTGTTGATTTAATTTTTTATAAAAGCAATTTGAGGTTTGGGATTTGTCCGGGTTTTGCCAGCAAGTATAATAGAGGTTGTTTTAAAACCTTGTATATTCTCATGATTTTAAATTTACAAATCTATTAGGTAAGAGGGTAAACAGTAAACATGACGAGATCAATAACTTATTGAATCGGCCGAGTAATCGTTCAATTAATTTTTCATAAAGTGTCCCAGGAATAATATTAACTGCTGTAAATACTGTCGATAAAATAACATTTGGGAAGGTTGTTGGTAAAGCAATTATAAAAAAAATAAAATTGTCGAAAAAAAAAATACTGCCGAGAAAAAAATTGTCGGGGAAATATTGTTCATTTGGCCTTTACCGTTACCCCATAAAAAAAGTCGATCCGTGTCTTATATTTTTTTAGTAACAAAATTGTTCTCGATTATTTTGGCCGAAATTACTCAAAATTTTACTAATACCTGGGCTAATTTTACCATTGTGCGGGCCTATTTATTTGAAAATTTCTATTTTTGGAATAAAAAAGTTAAAAAGTTAATTTCGGCCAGAAATTAGTAATCAATTATGTAATGCAGGCCAAAATTTTGCAGATCCACGGACGTTAGCCAATCATCGAGGATCTGCCGGGACAATTTTGTTGTGCAATTAGTCAATTAGTTGTCAGCCAGTTGGTTTTTAACTAACGATTATACAAAAATTGAAAATTTTATTTAAAGTACAAAAAAATAAATAATAATTCTATGAATTTATACAGTATTAACCAAAAAATTAGCATATCTATTGAAATTTTTTTTTTTAAAAAAAGTATATTCTATTTAATTTCGGATGGTCTAATGGATATAAAAAATAGACATTCACCGGAACATGGATTTTTCAACGCATATCACCTTTTTTGTCTAAATTTATACGTATACTAGTTATGTGTCAAAATCGGTTCCAAGTAGGATTCCATATATTTTCTAGTAGCATTATCTTCTACAGCATATCTGCCGGAAATTTGATGCCAGTAAAAGGAACCAGCAAGCCAGTCTTCTAATCCTTCAAAGTACATTTTAACAGTTTTATTCATTTCTGGACCAAAATCTGGTAACTTTGAGATATTTTCTCGTATTTGAGTAACACGCAGATTTGACAATTTCACAGCATCATTAACAGCCTCTTGCAAGGAATAATTAGATAAATTTTTCAAAACAAAAATTAGATTATCTGTATCGTTGACCAGAAGTTCTTTCCTGAGGGAATAAATATCGTTTATAAAGCAAGCGTGATCATTACAATAGTTCATAAGGCATTGAAAGTTCGGATCGCTGTATACATCATCAGGAAGTTCAATATTGAGCGTGATCTCGACAAAATTGAACGTAACTTGCACAGCGCCTGTATTCCTTCTTAACTCTACGTAGTCATCAATGGATTTATGAGCTTTCTTGGAGACACAATTCTGTGAATGTGTGTAGTACGAACTAAAGTAATTTGCGAGGGATGTACGAAATCTTTGTTGCCAAGCTTTTCCAGTTATACACTTCATTTTTGACCATAAGTCCCATAACGCGACAGCAATTGGACACTTAGCGGAATCTGGGCAATGATCGCTATCTATAACCAGTAAGAAACCGTCCAAAATTCTTTTAAGTTTTTCAGGTTTATCAATTAAGTCATGTTTATTATCAATCTGATCATCGAGGAGGAATAGCCAGATCATGAAATCGGTAACCAGACAAAGCCTGTCAAACGGGGCGTTTGGATAAACATAACATCCAAATAGACCATACTTGGCACTTTTAAAACGTTTAATTGCTTCTTCTTTTGTCACCAATCCGAATTGCATTGCCCACTCAAGACAATGTTTCTCAACTTCCGATTTATATTCATTACTTGAACGTAAAGGGAAGGTACATTCTAGGGATTTTGGAATTTCGAAATTCTCTGTAGGGTTTATTTGGTAAAATTTTTTTCTAGATTTTCCTTTGAAGATTCTCTTTTTAAATAGACGTTTTTTTAGTTTTAGGTCTTGAACCAATTTTCCGAATGTTTCGAAGAAAGCCATAATAGCAGACTTTTTGGAATTATAGACCAAGAATTCTAGCGGGGCTATATATATTTTTTTATGGGTTAAGTGCCGGGAAAAGGGACTAATTTGACAATTTTTTCAAAAAAAAAGGTTCTTTTTAAAGCTTGATTAACCTAGCGACATTTTTTTACTTAAGAAATAAATAATATTGTATCAATAAAATTTTACAGTATAACCTTCTAAAATTGGATTTTCTTATAATCTAATGTAGATTTTATAATAATAATAAAAATTTCCACACCTAGTCTATATTATATCGACTTTCAATTATGAAATATATATTTGCAGTAAACTGAAATGGATCTCTTTAAGTATAGGTCCCCATTAATACAATATATTATTAGTTATTAGTCAATTATTTGTGAATAGTGTCACCTATACTAAGAGATCCAAAGAAGGATGGCCCATTATTTGTCATTATGTAGGGACAATTGGTTTGTTATCCAAAACGAACAAATCAGATCTATAATTATTGTGTGATTCCAGGATTCAATGTGACATAAATATAAATAAATGAAATAATGAATCGGATATTAAAAATGTATTTAGTGTATCAAATATTAAAATGTATCGAGTAAATCAAATATTTAGATGCATTGGGTGAATCAAATATTTAAATGCATTGAGTGAATTAGATATTACTGTATTTAAAAGCTATTGTGTGAATAATGTACTAATGTATTTAAAAGCCATTATATGAATCAGACATTTAAATGCATAGAGCGAATTGATTTTGCCTGATTCGCCATATATTATAACCGGTTAAAGAATAAGCCGATAATAATGCTAGCTTAGGAAAGATCATAGAGGAATATGTTCGTACTTAAACATTTTAATTCTTGCGATAATTATACTAATATATATTAAGTAAATAATAAGTTATAAGTAATTCTTATACAATTACTTTACCTATTTCTAACATTATTCTCTATAAATTTTTCGATATTTACATTTTGATCTAACATTAACTTTAATTTGACATGTAATATATACAGTTAGACCTAAATACAAGCTGTTGGGATAAAGCATTGAAGGAAAGTTGCAATTAGAGAACAGCAAATAATATTGCAGTGTTATTTTAGTTATAGTATTATATTATATCGTTAACCAATGTTTTTGAGTGAACTTCTAATAAAAGTTATATAGGAAGTTCTTGGGATTCTAAAGGTAGTAGAATCGCAACAATGTCATCATAATTATTTAAACTTTCTTTATCAATTATAAATTATGTAAAAAGTTTTATATAGTCATGAAGATATTTTTGCTTATAACTCTAGAAATGCTGGTCTAATCTTAGCCGTTGAAGTCGCCTTTATTAGAAGTTCAAAATACCGGTATTGGTTTACTTAGTGAAAAGAACTATGTATATAATTTTTATGCTACACTAAATATAAAATTAATGAAATTACATTTTAACTTTAAGTAAAAAATTTTTTCTTACATATTTAACACTACCTAATCTCAAGCACTTAAATTAATGGGTTGGTGATCAATTTTTATTAGTGGAAATACTTTAACCGGTTGGATGAATGACGCCGATTATATTGAGGGAGATTGAATCAACCAGAGAGATCGCCAAAGTGTTGGTCACTACAAATTATATAATGAAATCGCTTTGCGGTTCATTATGGAATCAACTACACTTTTTTATCATAATTTTATAATTTATTGCAGAGCAAAAAGTTTACTTTGCATGCGGTGGCCATCATGTGACCAGCACTAAATTTATTTAATTAAACTTCTATGATGCTGACTGGTACAAAAAAAAAAAGACTAAAAAACGCGGCTAAACAAATTTTACTATGACGTGTAAATTTCCAATTAAAATTTCATTTCAATCTTGCAAATGAAATGCATGATGTAAATATGCATAATAGGGATTGGATCCAGGTAGAAATTATTGCTATATGATTAATAATGCCCGGGTAGAGATTTTCTCAACGGGTCCAATCTCTACTTGATAGTAGATCCCTTCCGATTATACTGGGGTCTAGACTTGGGTTAAAAATTTAATGGAAGTAGGGACCCTTTTCTCCAAGCAATATACCCGCCGGATATTATTCAAGTTATTGACTATATAGAGCCGAGCCCGATAAAGGTGAATACTTGCGAACAGATTTACCGTCTGTCAAAAATATGATTAATTATTTGCAATAATAATCATGTAGCTGCATTACACGTATTAATTTTATTACATACATTTAAGGGATAAAGAGCGTGCATTTAGGGGGTTGCATTTAGGTTAAAAAAAAATGACTGATCAGAGAGTGCATGAGGTATTTACTCCCAAACCCAGTGATTTGGAACTTTAGTAGAATCCCAAATTTTAAACTATATTTGGGATTATTATCCGAAACTTTCCGATTGTATGATTAAAGTGAATTGGAAAGACATTAATGCAATATAACTTACGTGTTATTTGGGGACGTCCCAAATAGTTTGGGTAACATCGCTAATCCAAAACTGAACACACGGAAAGAAAAAAAAGAGAAAAGCGAAATATTTTAATCCTATTGTTTCAATCAATAACGATAAATAGCATTATTGCCAATATATAGTTCTATCTTTATTTACAAAATGAATTTCCTTTTTTGGTTTGCTACTCGCATTTCTGCAACTCATACAGGAGGATCCCCAACATTCCGGGTCGGAATACATCGGAATCATGATCGGCAGGGCCGGAATTAACTAATTTGCCAAAATCACTAAAAGTTTTACTAATGAAACCATAGCTCACTCATTAAGTAAAGCTGCCCAGATGATAATTTTGGCCCAGAAATGGTTAACTTGTATTACTAGATGCTAACTAAATGCCGGGCTAAATCCGAACCGGAATTTTGGGGATCCCTCTGTATGAGTTCATTTCTGCACTTAGGGATCGACTATATTCAAATATGATGCTAACACCGCAAATGCTGACCCCAAAACCTCACCCTGACCAAAATTTGGTCTATTAAAAACACACTAATATTCGAAACCCGTCATCAAATGACGGGATTATACCACTTATTAAAGTATTTGGCCCTAAAGGTATCCAACCTATTATTCAATGAATAGTTTAATCCATTATTCAACGATTAGTACGTACGTATAAACTTTGTGGCAGAAATAGATTACATATTATATTCAAATACAATTTTGATACACAGATAAGATTTTCCAAAATACACCCCTTACTAGTGGATAAACCAAATATGGCTGCTATTTAATTTGTAATTTATTATCATTGGTAATCTAATGTGACATTAGCATAAATAGGTTAGAGATAATAAATGCAATCTTAAATTCTAAAAAGATTTGCTTTCTGTATGTAATATGGGTTTTAGAAACATAACTGCCATAGAAATATTCTCCGATATTCCACGTTTAGTTCTCATTCTGCTATGCTTCTACATAGTTAAATACTATTATCAATACTTCACCAGGGAAAATAAGCTCCCCGGACCACTCCCAGTACCCCTATTGGGAAATGCTCTTGAATTGTTTAGATACAAATTAAATCTCTCTGAATACGTAAATGCGGTTCAGTTAAAATATGGAGATATATGCGAAATTCACATGGGTCCTAGGAGACTTATTATCATTTCAAGAAGCGATGTAGCATTTCCAATTTATACCTTGTCGGTAGCACACAACCGTAAATTTCTCTATCGTGATTCGCCAAATCCTGGACTAGAAGAAATTGGCCTCGAACAACGTGGAATAATTGCAAATAGGAATTTAGATGAATGGAAAATTAATCGTAGGTTCTTAGAAAGAACCATAATGTCAAAAAGGTTTTTAAAGGAGTTTGCGGAAAAAGAAAATAATATAATTTTGGACATGTTTAAGTTATGGGATGTTTTGATTACTGAACGGCAGGAGATTGACTTGGCCAAATGGATAACAAAGTTTGCAGGAGACGCTATGCTCATGACAGTGACTGGTCAACCGGCTTATTCGACGTTGAATTATTTTATTTCACTTGGATATGAGTATAATCACGATCATATCCCGGTTTCGAACTGGAATCGATCTTCGAAATTGATCTCTGCTGTCCTTTCTATTTTTAGAATAACTCCATGTAAGTATTTTGCAAATACGCGAGATATAGTTTTGGACCAGCTTTATTTTTTTTTTTTATGTTAAAACCGGCTTAACATATAAAATTAAAGAAAATAAACGGTTCCAAACTCTGCATTAGTATGTAGGTGATATTTCTGGGCCGGGCTATGTTATGTAGTCATGTGATTCTGAAACTTCTAATCAAAAAAACATATATTGTGGTTTAATTAGAATGCAGGGTGAAATTTTGAGATATTAGCCTAAAATCTATGTTACACCTATGGTTTGGCACGGCATGAAATTCTTTTTTGCTATCTGACAAACTCTTATGATATTGGGCAGTAGATGAAAAATAACAGAACATTTTTTCATCAGATTTAATGTCACTCCATGTACTGTGTAGCAGCACATGAATGAAATTAACTCCGATGAAAAAAAGTTTCTTGTTATCCGGCGTTTTATATAACCATGTGAGGTTTTTCCTGATATTTTACACAAATGATTACGCAAAAAATATCATGACAAAAAAATTCACATTATCATATAAAAAGTCTGTTTTTTTTTTTATGTATTACGAAATGTTTACTCGTTTAAAACTCAGCCGACAACTCCCGCCAATCATGATCATAAATTGTCGGATAACGAAATTTTTTGCCGAATAACGATAATGCATACCTGTTATTTAATGTCGACATCTTGGTCGCACGAATAGTACAAACCAAAAAATGGAAAATCTAATGCCATATATAGATAAGTTCTAAAAGCTAGAAACAATGTTCCTTGAATCCTCATAATTTGGAAAATCCTACATCCGTATTTTGTACCATGGTTACCGGCTAATAATTTATCTTATTATTCTTAAATTTAAGGGTTCCTTGTCGTTCCACCAATTATAAGGCATTTCCCTGGCATAAGTTTTTTTAATCAAAGATTATTAAAAAATGCAACAAACCTAAACAACATTGTACTTGAAATAGTCCGAGAAAGACGTCTATACATTAACTCATTGTCTGAAGATGCCCAGATGCCATTGGATGCTTTGTCGCTACTCCTTATTGCTAACACTCGGCGTGATCCTTCAAAAACTTTATTTAAGTCCTTAGACCGATCATTAAACGATCAAGAGATTGGTGGAATTTTGGTGGATATTTTCTTAGGTGCCTTTGAAACGGTAGCTTATTTCAAATAATATAATTATAAATGTAAATATAATTAACTTATTAGTATTTCTTGATAGACCGCAACTGCTATTTGCTTGACAATATATTATGTGTGCAAATATCCTTCTGTAAAATCAAAGCTTCTTTCAGAATTCGACTCAGTATTTGGTTCTCTGACAACACCATCTGAAAATATTCTCTACGAAAATATTGAAAAACTTCAGTATTGTGATGCCATAATAAACGAAGTTCTTCGCCTACATCCTATAATTCCTGTAATGCCCCGATCAAATTCTGAACCTGTGGAAGTTGGTGGTTATCTCTGGAAAGATGGTTATTCGTTTTATGGAAATTTTCAAGGAATTCAATCTAATGAAAGGGATTGGATTGATGCAAAAATTTTTGATCCTGATAGATTTTTAAGAAATAATGATAATATAAGATCAAAGAATGCTGAGATAGCCAATAACAATGGTGCTTTTGTGCCGTTTGGTGGGGGAGCTAAATCTTGTCCGGTATGTGATTACGAAAGATCCAGGGTATAGGGGAGATTTTGATCACGTGATATTCGCAATTTTTTTTAAGTTTATTCGCTTAAGGGTTAGCACGAATATTAATATTATACAACTAACCCGACACCTGGTGTGCAACACATAAAAATAATTATTTTATGTGTTGCACATAGGGATGGTAAAAAACATTTTTCACCGTTTTAAAACTTGCAATGATTATGATCTGAATACTTTTCAATTTAGACTCCGCATATTCAAATCATAAACATCACATGTTTTAACGCGGTGAAAAATGTTTTTTTACCATCCCTAGTTGCACACCAGATGTCAGTTGTATAATATTACTCGAGGAAAAATCTTATTTAGAGCGCAAAAGGTACTTTTTTATGTAAATTTTTGAAATAACTTGTTTCGAAACTTCCTGATAGTGTTTGTTACACCAAATCATTCTTCACTAGAGATAAATCCGTCATCCATTTATCCGTATGCACATCGGTTTTCTGTTTTTCCGTGTGCAAGTGTTCAATATCAGGTGTAACGTAATACAATCATGAAATTTCAACAAAATTCGTAAAAAAAAACCACTAACAAAAAGGTTTACTACCTAACCTCTAACCTTATCCTCAATACCAACCCTAACATCAAAACAATTTGCCTGCGCCACGTGATCGACATAACCCGACATCCTGACGTTTATTTATACATTTATAAAACTTATATATTCAACTATTAAAGCACATACACTCAATTTACAATAACAGGGAAAACATTGGGCAATGGTCGAAGTTAAAGTATTTTTAGTAGCGCTCTTAACAAGGTATGACGTAGAATTCGTAAACAAAAATCAGGAATTGAATTTGTTTTGGAAGACTAGCATTCATTGGCGGAATCTAAAGGTTTACTTGAAACATAAAGCCTAGAATACTCATTTAATAAAAATTGGTTTGTTGTGAAATGATGGATGCTGTCAACCTGGAGTGGTCTACTTTTTATTTTGTACAATTATCAACACTATTTATATGTTATACTAGTTCATCTTATTCAAGACTTTTCAATACCTACATAGTTTGATTGTTTGATAATAAGTTACTCGTATAAATGATAGTTCAAATATGTTATATCTGGAACGGAGTGTATTGTTTGCCTTGAAATAAATAGTTTTAATCTACAAATAAATTATTCGATTGGTCGATATTAATGTTTATATTCATATCATAATTGCATAAGTTATCTACGCTAGAACCAGGAACATATACACCAACGATTAGAACGAAGGTACTGCACATTATTTATCAGTATCGGGAGGTTATCGATTTTGAAAACGTCGCAAACTGTTATATTTACAGACAAAACGGACTTCAGGACTTGGTAGATTAATTTTTGTCAGATTTGACAGGTTATCAATTTTGACAGGATCAGTTTGAAAGATTCAACTGTACAAAAGATTACATGTGATCAGCTAAAATTGCAATTTTATTGGCAATGTACGTGAAATTGCATGAAACTAATTGTTGAACCTCTCAAAACTGATCTTGCCAAAATCATCAAGTTTGATAAAAAATTAGTCTACTAAGTAGAGTTACATTTGGTTCTGAAAAAGATTAGTCCAGACCAGTTCCAGACTGGACCATAAGTAGTGATGTGAACAGCTTGAGCCAAGCCGCAAGCTGAACCGATTAACGGTTCGGCTTCAGGTTTACTAATAAAGTATTAGATTTAAAAACAGTTTAGCTCAAAGCTTTGAAGCTGATTGTGAAGCTAAGAGTTAATAGGGTTATACTATACTAAAAAATTCAATCAGTTATTACAATCAACTTTTCTTATTGATCTTTATTTCTAAAAAAAGCAAAAACAGAAATACAAGAATAGTACTAAAATAGATTAGTAACATTTTTTAAGTTATTATTATTATTATTATTTAAGCAGTTATGTTAGTATTTATTAAGGTTTTTGAAATTACATTTGCAATTACATAAAATTCTTAAACCTAGTCTAATATCATCTGGTTATTCTGATGATACCTAAGTGCAACTTGTTATATTATTTTGAGCAGAAGTAAGCTATTTGTTTGACTACTTAAAGTTCATAATAAAACTGTTTTTTCCTTTTCATAACAAGTCTCAATATTGTCTTCTTAGTTATTTTTTTTAATTTGTTTTTCTTCTCTTTTATTATTTGCTAATTTGCTATTGTTTCTTTCTTTAATTCTTTTTTTTTTTGCATTTCTTTCTTTATTCTATTTATTATTATTATTTTTTTTATTAATCTTTTTGCATCATATTCTTTAAATCTGTTTATAGAATTTGTTTTGGGTAATTTTTGTTACTATATTTGCAAACTACTGTTTTGATATTATAATTAAAAGTTATCTTAATTTGTTTTATATATCTTTTGAAATTAAGTTTTTGATTAGTATTTCTTTTATCTTTACTTCTGGATATTCAACTAGCCTCTTTTGGGCCTAGGGTTTTATTCAGTAAATTGGACATAGGGACTTGCGGCTGAAGCCTCAAAGAAGTCACCTTTACATTAGAGAGTACAACTAGCCACACGTACACTTTTGGTGTCTAATTTAAG